ATTTTTGGTTGCAAATGAAAGTTGATGCAACGTTGAAGCTTCAACGTTTCAACGTCAAATATCAACATTGAACAAAAATGAACATTGGTTATAATTAGGTTGAGATTTGGATGAAATTTTTCGGTTGTACAAACGCTGATATTTGGTTGAAATCACCTTGAATTCATATTACATTTTACTTTATAAACAGATACATTTCAAATTATAATATTTTTTTTTTTTTTTTAATAATTATTTATTTATTTCAAGAAGTGACATGTCAAGTTACATAAGTTTTTTAGTCACATTCACACACACATTCACACTTCCCCTCTGAATTTAAACAAGAATGAAATATAAAATATATAAAATTCAAGAAATATTTAAAGTTGGTGTTTAAATAAGTGTTTATAACTCAAAAATATTAATCCATGGTGACCATAGATTATCAAAACTTTTTCATTGTAAAATTTTGAATTGATATGCATTTTTCTACTTTGTACTTAAGAGTTAAATGATGTAGCAGCCCAGTAATCATAGGCATTTTGTTCTGTTCATTTTGACAATTATAGTATTTCTATTATTCAAGTTGCGTAATATTAACATAAGCTGTAATCCAGTATTATGATTGTGAGATAATTTAATTTAGTATGTACTTTAAAGACAAACACAGATTCGGATTCAATCACTGAATATCAAAAATCACTGCTTGACAAAATTTATATGCCTATTGAAAAGTGGGTCACAGTAATCACATCCAGGTTCTTCGAAGTACGCATCTGTCTTACACTACTAAGTTCCACAAAGTGGCAGATCCATTTATTTTAATCACGCATATAGTTAAGTCCCATAGTTAAGTCCCATGAATGAAAGAAATGAACAGGAGAATCCACCCTCTAAAGCAGAAGCCTATTAATAAAAGAAATAAAGATGTAAAAGCCATTTGTTCGATACAATGCATGTAACACGTTATTTCAAACGATAAAAATAAATACCAGGTATACATGAATGATTTTAAAAATCAGATAAAGGAATATATTCCGGTATTTGAATTTAATTAATATGATTAAAAGAATTATAGTTGACTTCAAGTTAAAATTCGTATTAGTATGCTTATAAATAATTATTACTATAGAAAAATGTTAAAGACATGTACATACATAGACATAAGTGTACTTAAAAATGTTGCACAGGAGCGAAGAATCTGATGCAATCAATGCTGAATATATATATACAATCAATTCCCTGCACCACTGGTTGATTGAATCTTAGGACGAACTACAATTAATTAAATTGTAAAATATATTAGTATACTTATATTTCATAACCAAATGAATATTAACAAAAAAAAACATAATACACGAACCAAGGATGTGCATTTCACGCAGATTTCAATTAAATGATACAGATACTAAAAACTTTTAAAATTTCTTAAATCCATGAAAAGGAAATAATACTTACTGTCTTTATCCTTATGTATATAGCTTGAAAACACATTAAATATGATCAACAAGGAGACGCGCACTAAATTATTTGTCCAGCAGTTGAATTCAAATTTTGAACTAGATAAGCTGCAAACAGCTATACTCTGCCCAGCAAGAAAATTGCATAACAAGGTTTTCCTGACACTGAAACTGACCAACTAAGCGAGAGGCACTCCTTATCTGAAATCTAGGTTTTTGGGGAGTGGATCTTAAGCAATGCTACTTGACCGGGGTTATAATTGTCAGTATGAAAATTGTTATGTGTTTATTTAATTTTTTTATATTTTGTGAAAAGAAAGATTATAGAATTAATACACACAACAAAACACAATCAAATAAAATAAGACTTCTTATATTCGCTCTGTATACGTAAAATCTGCGCAATAGTATACGGCACGGGACTATATGAGTCTAACTGAAACCTATAATTTTCTGAAACCTAATACTTATAGGAATTGAACAAAATTAACAAGGGTCATGCAAAAATTCTACATTTGTCAAATTTCCCCTTTGTGCGTCACAATGGTGCTTTAAATATTGACAACCTAATGAGTTAAACTAAATGTACTTTTGATTTGTTTTCTTTTTAGTAATTAATTTATACAAACTTCAAGATAATTAGCTATTTTTTTAGTGCTCGATTACTTACTAAATTAATTAATAAAAATGTATGTAGTTCTGCTTTCTGCATCAATTCTTAAACTAATCTTCGAAGAAGCACATTGAAAAGTTCTGTATGATTTCCAATACCTGAAAATTGGTATAAAGTATAAATGTATTTCATTAAACATTTTAAAGGCCATCTTTAAAGCAATGTTTAGTTTTATTGAACATGTTGAAGGCCATCTTTAAAACAATGTTTGGTTTCCATTTTCCGACAGACTGACTACCAATGGTCCGACTCTTAACTAATATTTAAGATTCCAGCACAAGATATTTTTTTCTTTTTTATTCCTCTTCTTCGGTCAACAAATATGTTGAAATTTTCTGGAAAATAAATGTTCCCTACCTATAAGAGCTACTGACAAAATGATTTTACTCAGAGTTGAGAGCGGACAAACATTTTAAAGATGGCCTAATTATGAATTGAATATTTTCTGGCCTAATCAGAATACTGTATTTTTACACACCCCAAAACAGATTTCAAAGGAACAATAGAGAACAAGTGCTTTTGTAATTCCCAAAATTTTTTGGACATAATATCTTTCGAAGTAAGATAGATAGTTTGGCAGAATAACAATATCCCCAAATATTTATACCTTTAACAAACTTGACTTTATACTCTAGAAAAAAAAATGCATGTGCATGAAACTGTAACGAAATCAATATCGTTTTTGTTCGTGTGAATTGAAATAATATTTGATTGACGATAATTGTCTTAAAGTTTTTTATCACAGTGATTAATTGTTCATTAATAGACCTTGACTTCAAGATATTTAATGTCATTTAATTAAATAACAACCTGTAGTTAATGTGCCATTTAAAAAAAATCAAGTCTACATTTTCGTAAATGTTACAGGATAAACTCTGGGCTCGAGAAACTCTGAGCTGATCGAGCTTGTTGTCTAAAGATAATAGCCCAGGCTTTTATATTTCAAACAACATTTCGAGACCGAGGAGGTTTTTCTGTTTCATTCACAATAACAACGAACTTTAATTATTTCTTCAGTTTTAACGACAGCTCTTATGAGGAACGAATTAGGTCACGCTGTTCCATTTAACACCAGATCAAAGGTCAATTCGTTTGTTTACTTGTGTATCGATTGCATTAAAACGCAGACGAGTCCCATTTGATCTTTGATTTTTTAAAAAAATTTATATTAATCATAAGTCAAGAAATAAACTGGATTATTTAAAATAAATTTAATAAGCGGTAATAGCCTTATACATGTTGTATATTTGAGGGTTGCTGGAAAAGTTAGCGGACCCATTGGTTTACGGAAAATCTATTGTGTACTGTGAATTATGATCTATACCTGATGAAATTCATATATTTTGTTTGTTTGTATGTGAAAAATGAGGTACATTTAATAAAATTTTGAAAGTTGACTTTTTTTTTTACTATGATTTTTACTATGCGGTCATATCTGATTCACAGAACAATCAATTGGTGTCAAGTGACGTGAAAACCAGATTTCAAACCCGTTTATGTTTTTCACAATTCTAAATATCTTTTTATTTCTTGAGACTTTTCTTGTCCTTTTTTCTACATAAAGAATAAAATAAATATCAAGACATGTTACTTTTCTTCGATAATATCTTTGTGCTGTTTTTGGCTACTAGTATTAACAAGATCTTTAAAATAAATGCCTTTACGCCATTTAGCAATCAGGTATGGAAACAACACAAAACCAATAGACATATCGCTTTTACTGAGGGAAGCATCCATTGTGTTGATGTTGTAATCTGACGCACTGCGACATCAGTTATCAAGCTCGATGCATGGTCACATGAAAACAGTATATTGATCATGGGTGGTTGGTAATTTTCATGTAGGCCTAAGTTAATATATGGTCGGTAGGTCACGTCGAAGGGGCACATTATCAATGTATCAGCATACCATGATCGTTTAATACGGTATTGCTTTCAACCAATAAAATTTCAAAAAATTTATAAGTATAACACTGTATAATGAGGTACATCTTCGCTAACCAAGGGTTTCCGATCCGACACCTGGAGTAGGTATCGGATCAGAAACCCTTGGCTAGCTAAGATATATGAGGTATCCCAGGAGTTGATAATTAGAAATGCTAGTCCTTCAATTCTTATAAATCTACTTTTATTTGAATACTTTTGTTCTTGGTACATGTTTTTTTCATATTTTGCTGTCTGTGTACACATAATTTTTAGTAGCTAGGTGCTCTGTTACAACTTTTTTTTCAAAGTGCGTAATTTTTTCGAAGTGCGTTGCCACAGTGCTCCATGACATTCCCATCCTTGGCTTTGTTTTTACGTGTTAATTATTTATAAATGGATGTAAAACAGTCATAGTATGCCCTCCAATTAGATACAAAATCTCGCCAAGAATCGTTTTATGAAAGCTGTATAGCAACAGGTAAAATATCATAAATCTTTTTGTTCTTTTTTTAATTTCAATCAAATGTCTATGTAATATTAACTTGCGAAAAAAGTAACATCCTTCGTGAAGCATGCCACTGTAAAAAAATGTACTTAGGAAATATACACTACCATTACCTGTTTATATCTAAACCTGTTTAATATTATGTTTAACAAGTAAACATCTCGGTCTAAAGTATTTAATGCATTAACATGTTTAGAAATTAAACACATGTTTCATTTTTCAGTCAGTAAGAAACAAAATTGTCTTCTCGGAAATGATTGAGATATTCAAACAATAATTAGCGCGGTTGTCGAACAAAGAAAATCATCACAACATTACGAAAAAACCGTTTTTCCAACAAAAAAGATAGAAATTTAAGATGAAATCGTTGCAGAGAAAGTGAAATGCACGATCGAGGGAGGTTTCTTAAAAACTGTGATTTAAAAGGTTTGTATGTTTTTATTAACAAAATGAGCATGACGAGAAAGGTAAACAATTTCAGCAGTACTTGCTTATCTTAGGTTATTACATTTTTAACTGAATTTAAAAGATACAATGAACACTATCATTAACTCTTTACAACTTACAGAATTGCTATGCAACATACATTGAATCCTAGCGTCATAGAAATATTACTTTACCATTTCCCCGCAAGCACTTTATAGCCGGGTACAAATTTCGCTAAAGTTTAGCGTAAATAATATTCTGAAATAATATTTTAATTAAAAAATAACTTTTCCTATTTTATGAGGTTCAAGCAATTATAAAATTATTGGAATATGGCAATAAATTGAAGATTAAATGAACTTTTTAAAGTGCGTGAAAATGCGTAATTGCGGGGAAACGGTAAAAGCGTGATTTTGCGTTAGAAATAGGAAATGATATATGCGTTAAAATGCGTGACTGCGGGGAAGGGTGTTAAATTAATTGGTACAGCTTGACTATTCATAATAAGGATATAAAATAATGGATGTTAACGGACGATAAGTATTAACAAGGAACACATATACCTTGTACTATTATTGAAATACGAATAGTATGTTGTATGTGTCTTCAACACACGATCAAATCGTGGATAGAGTACAAAATATGATCTTAAATGAAACCAATTAATCATTGAAAATTCTTTTATTTATGATAGAGAAAATGATTGAGAAAATGAAAAAGACGTTTAACCACACAGAGAAAACATAAACTTCCAGCAGAAAAGCTAGGTAGTCTCTGATTTGATCAGTGGTACAAGGTAATTTATGTTACTTGCACTTGTAATTCATTTGAATGTGTTAATTTTGTTGTTTCTTTCTATTTTATGTTAGATTTTTATTCAGCCTGCTTTCCCAATGGACTGTTTCCTTCTTTCGTGTCAAGCTTGAAATTTCTGTCCCTTGCATTTGTTTTGATTTTATATTATTTTCTATTTTTCTTATATGTTTTGTAGAAAAACAACATTTTATTAAAAGCAAGAACGTAAGGATCCAGCCAAGTTGAAGTTCAGGAAAAAAAACATTATCAATATCATTTACTTATTGGAAGAAGACTGGAGATAATGGGATCTACTAACCTGAATTCGCTGAACTTTTTTGTGTTGTGTTGTATTGTGTTGTGTTGTTGAGATATCCCAAATAATTTCAAATTCTAGACGTTTTAAGTTTTGTATCTCAGTAACATAGAAAAAATTTAGTTAAAAAAAAAATACCTAAAAGACAAATAGTTTGATAACTGAAATACGTATTTTAAGGTTTTTCTGGTATACTGTATTGGATGTATGAGTTTGCTTTAAAAAATTGATTTGTATTCTTAGATGGATTAAAAATTTTGATATAATTTAAATTTTCTAATTCTAATAGACTAATAATGAAAATAAAACTACTCTGAAGTTCTTTGTAATTTGTATAGAGATAACTACGTTGGTTTATTATAAGTGTACCAGTATTGGGTAATAATTCTTCAAGTTTGATTGTACATGGATTTTATAATGTTTAAGTGTTAAGCGTATTTAAAATCTAAATACGTTTAGGCCCTAAACATGAGCTGCACCCTGTACATGTTTTGAAATTAAACGTTTACCTAAACACGGTTAGAAAATAAATGTGTTTAAGAATTAAACATGTGAAAACATCTGTCTACAGGAATAATGTTTAGAAAAATGTTTAGACTCTAAACACATTTTTTACAGTGTGTTTTATCAAATCAATATGACTCAATATATTTTACAAAATCACCGGTAAAACACCAAATCTTAATCTGAAATCAAAGCTTAAGACCACAATAAATATTAAATACGTTAATTTTTTATCTGGAGAGATTTACAAGATTCGCAGAAATAGCGCACACAATAGAACTTGTCCGCGAACTTTCTAACATACCTCGTATTTTAAAACTTTTCATCAGATGGAAATACTAAATTTTGTCTTCTACCACTTTAATATTAATGAACATTTTTTAAGAATAAGCATAAGATATAATTAAAATTGAAATAGTGTACAATATTTTTACAGAATAGAATTCTTTAATCCTTAAAATAATCAGGTATATGTTTACATTGTAAACTTGTCTCAAACACTGGAAATCGGGATACCCATGTCACTGTGAACTATGGCCTTCATACAATTACATCATTCAATTATATTGTATATACATGTGCACAGTAAACATAATAGATATCCATGTTTTAATTGGAATTAACAACAGACATCTTTTACTCTTATCAAGAAATTTATAGTAACCAGAGCATGTGTTGAGTGATACTAAATTTAAAAAGATGTCATCAAGACTATCATTATTTTTTTTAAAATACATTTTTGATAAAATATATACATGTTTATATATACATTGAAAAGTATAGATATAATTCAGAGACAGAGATTTTTGATATTTTCAAAGGAAAACTTGAAAAATTCCTTTGTAAGCAGACAAAAAAAAATTCAGATTCAGAAAATGAACTCATGTTTTGCTCAGAATCAATCCTATGACACAGAGTTTACACATCAATATCCACATATACGAAGAATTGATAAAAAGTTCGTGGAATGGGGCTATAAAATTAGTACCATGTAGTCCGTGCTTTTAAAATTCACAAGGAACATTAAACAACAACAACAACAAAGAAAATTTGATCATTTTAGCTTTAAACGTTCATTATTTGCCAAGATATATCAAAATAATAAAAAGACATTATATGATCACCTAGGGCCGTTGCCGTTTAGTTTCATGATGTCCGACAACGTCATTGTTGTTTTAAATGTCCGGTTCTTCTCCCCCATACGTTTATTTTGATCATCTGGAGCTGAGTAAGGACTTAAACCCGTCTATATATTTTAAAGTTCATTTATGTACATAAACCGGTTTTAATTTTATGACGGTAATCAACGAACTTTTTTAAGCGGCTCTCGTATATCACAAGTGCCGTTTAAACCAAGTACAGGTCTAACCAAGTGCTATTTTCTGATTTTCACCAAGTGCCGATTTGCATACACTAGGTGACATTTTCACCATGTGCCGTTTGGAATGGGTACCGTTCGAACTATTTCGTTGAGACAACAACATTGCAAACGTTCGCCAAGATTCCTTTTACTAATAGAAACCTTTGCGAGCACTCGGAGAAAAGGAATAATATCCTCATGAGCAGAACATAACTCCATGCCTAAGAGAATCACATCTATATCGATTGAATTGCGTTTGTGTTAGATGCACTAAAGACTGACAAATACGTCACTGAGGGTTTATTACATGAAGGAGCATTGGAGTTGGGAGGTCATGATATAAATCAATTATTATGTACTGTACTATCCACTAAAATCTGATATTTTGTTGTAACTTACACATCTATTAGAAGGTTATAAATTATTTTCTGGGAGGGGGTTCAAATAAAAATTTAAATCAAATATTTGTACTGAGTCTGTGTTTCTTTTCAAATTAACACGTACCTAGCCTTCTTTTGATATACTCAGTTCATACTGCTGAACCGTATAAGATATATGTTTGCTATTTTTCTGTTTAAATCAATGTATGCTCTCGAAAACATGATCAGCCAAAAATAACATTTTTGGAGTCGAAATTAAATACAGCTTATTCATGTATGTAACAGAACTGAAGTTTTGGTAAAGAATATGTGTATTATAGAATTGTAGATAATTCAAACATTTGTATATATTAGATATGTAATAAGTAAAGGTGGACTTTTTGTACAGATTGATACAAAGACACTTCAAGTCAAGGAGACTGACTTCTGCCCTACAAACCAATCGTCATGGGAGAGGGCATCACGTTACTTGAATTGCACGTCTCCAGACAGATATCAGTGTACTTCAAATGAAAATCAGACATCCTTACTGGAATACTGTTACGATGAACCGCCTACCTTCGTGTTGAAAGGTAACCTCTCCCTTATTTTGAAAAGTTCAGATTTATACTGTCATCATCATTTATTCAGATCATGTTAAAAAAAAAACAAACAAAACAGGTCTGTCAGATCGATATATAGTTATAAAATGAATATGCATTAGGCCTGTCAGGCTAGTGTGCAGTAGGCTATGAAAGACTTTAGAATAGAAATAGAATAGAAAAATTACTGAAAAGGAAAATGAAGGAGATATATGATACTTACACTGTCTTGCATGTATAAGTCAAACAATTTGTAGCTTAGTATATATGCCATATAAGCTTCTTTTGTTCTCATGTTAAGGTTATTGTTGGATTTTACTGGATGTACATTACGTGCACACATTCAACTGTTCCGGATTCACAGAAGGATGTCCGAATGAAACCTACAGAAGTGACGAACTTTATAAATGTTTGTATGCCTTTTACTTAAAAAAAATATGGTTTTTAAATGTCATACTCTCAACAACTTCAAAACTAGAGGTACTGTGAGCAATGAGCTCACTAAATGATACCCCCGCCTCCCATATGGATATGATGGCAAGGTCCACGTTTTGCTGTGCCCGGGAAACCCAAAATATGTGTCGGATCAAAGAGTAAAATAGGAGGTGCAGAATGGCAATATTTAATAAAGATTCTGTGAACGTTTCATTTAATATCACTCAGTGGTATAAGAGGAGTTGCGGATAAGAGATGGGTACCCCAAAGCGTAACAGACAGTCGGATGGACGGACGGACATACAGCTATACGGACGGACTGACATACCGATTACAGTATACCCTCCCACTTTTCACGCAGGGTGTATAAGTATCTACATAACCAGTTGGCTCTCGAAAAACGCGTATATTATATATGATATTATTTTTAATTCTTACCTTTATTGCTTTCATATTATCCAAATCAAAGGAACGGACATTATGGAACACCATTATTGTGGGGTACAGATATTTAGATGAAACAATTGTCCTTACTCTAGATTTTACCTCTTTAGTTTAAATTACAGCTATGTATAATTTTTTTCATGTCTTTTAGATCGACAATGTTTACAGTTGAATAAATTGGAAGGATGTTTTCAAGCAGATGAAAAATGCTTGAAAGAGAAGTAAAAACCTTAATTAATATTTAATTTTTAATATTATATACACATTAAGAGTTCTGATATTATAAAGACCTATATCTATACATATGTCATGGAGTACATATATTTTTGACACATAATTGAACTGTATATTTACTAGACACTTAAAATGATTTCTAGAGAATCAAATTACTTATTGAGACAATGTGTTGGACAAAACGCATTGTGAACTTATTTAGCTTCGATTGATTGATTTATTATATATTGTTTAACGTCCCACTCAAGAATTTTTCACTCATGTGTAGAAGTCACTGTATGCCAGTGAAGGGCTTCAAATTTTGACCTTTACTCGGCACTCAGCGCCTTTGAGGCGTGGGGGATCTTTATTGTGCCGACGCCTGCCGCTGTCACGGGGACTCGGTTTTTAACGTCCCATCCGAAAGATCTGCAAATTTCACTTCAAAGTTCCAATCCCATGGTGAAGGATCAGTTGCTACCCATTTTATCGACTAGGTCAGTCGCGGCAGCGAACTCGCGAATACGGAGCGAGCGCTCTACCGATTAAACTACCGTGAATGGTATATTTAGCTTCAAAAGAGTAAGTATGAGGCATATATACTACAAAATTATCACTAGTTAAAATAGTATAGGCAACTTTAAATCTGCCTCGTATCTCAATACAAGTCCATCAGTTAATGACAAAGATCAAATACCGGTATATAAAGTTTTAATGTATGATTGATTGATTGATTGTATATTGTTTAACGTCCCTCATGAGAATTTTTCACTCATATGGAGACGTCACCGTATGCCGGTGAAGGACTTCAAATTTAGACCTATACTCGGCACTCAGGGCCATTGAGCAGTGAGGGTTCTTTATCGTGCCAGCGCCTACCGTGACACGGAACCTACGTTTTTAAGGTCATATCCGAAAGACCCGTGACTTTCACTTCTGATGCCGAGCGCTTGGGGAAGGAACAGTCGCTACCTATTTTTACGTCCTAGGTTTGACGCGGCACCGGGGACGAGAATCGAACCCGGGCCTCCCGATCACGAAGCGAACGCTCTACCACTAGGCTACCGTGAACGGTACTATAATGTATGCCATTTTAAACAAATTAGTTAGTTTATTCTGCCTGAAAAGCACATTCTTCTAAATAATTGCCAGTGGATTGATAGCTGATTAAAATCTTTTGATATTCACAAATTTTTCATTTAAAAATACACTTTTTAGTAAATTGAATGTTTTACCTGAAAATTGTTCTTGTTCCTTTAACCAGAATTGAAGAAACAATTAAACTTAGTGAAAATGTCATTTATTGCCAAGTTAAATGACAAAACTTATAACTTAACAAAGGAAGTTTAATATATAACTACTTACAAAATAATACATGAAAAGCTGGGATACGGTTGTTTCAATTAAGATATATTAGATTGCAACGTAGTGCTTATCCCAGCTATTTTATATGATCGCGGATATGTTAAGGAAGCATATAAGTCATTTCTCGGAAAATTTAGACTTTTTAAAGAAAATTAACTTTGAAAAATTACCAAACCCGCTGATAAACGTAAACTCTTATTACCTATTTTATACAGATAAAGAGTGTCTAACGCAAAGACGTGCACCACCGCCACGGCATCACGTGACTTCTATTAATAGCGAAATTTTCCTTAATAAAAAAGCTAACAGAACAACAATACCCCGGAGTTTGATGATGTATTTGAGTAAATAATATAATTGATAAACATCTATTTTGCCTTAAAAGTGCTGCTAAAATCCCACTGTCCCGTCAGTAAAATAATTATTTCACACATTCGCACAAAATCTTACCCTCTGTTTTGAATTATATACATGTGAACCGAGATTTTTCGTAAAACCATGATTAACTCTGGATTCTAGCAGCACTTTACAAGTTTGTCAGATGGCAAACTTACCATATGTACAAATCTAATGTTTTGAAATATCCAGCTTATTGTTGTTCTGTTGCATTTTTGTCACGAATGACAGAGGAAAAGCCGGCCGGGCTACGTATATAGCTGACTATCTTCGAAAGAGAATATAACCGATGGAAATAAATTAGCATACCTGTAATTAACTGAACTCCATATGAATTTCACATATGAGATTTCTTTTTAAACTCCATTTCACGTATCTTAGTACGTGCCGTCTTAGCCAAATTCTCTTTACACGACAAGATCAATTTTCAAGTTACTTGATGTACACATATGACGTCATCGGTGATAGATTTTAATCAAAATGACAGACACAGCATAAAAAATAAGAACATTTTATTTTTGTTAATGATAATACGTTTCTATGTTCCCGACCTTAAATAAATATTATTTTATCTTATCTTATCTTTATCTATTCATTTTCTAGAGTTAAATTACATCTCTAGATACCAATATAACTAGAACTTGTCTAAAATTGACGTCATCTCGCCTACTATGACGTCATAATGTAGCACTGGTTTAGTCAAGGTAGAATATTTTGTATGCTTCCTTTTTACCCCTGCGATGATTGCAAAGTTGTTGCAACAAAAAGATGGCGTACAAAAAGAGTTCATAAAACACGCTAAACTACATTGAACGAAAAGTACTGTTGAAAAAAAAATAATTTTTTGGAAGAGTGTTTGATTGACTATGGTAGCACTACAATAATCAATTTTACAATTAAATGTATAAAATAACAAAGTGTATAAAACATTGTTTTATACACTTATATTAATATAATGTATTGAAAGAATTAAGTACGTTAGTTATTATACGGAGGCCCAATATTTTCCGTAATATAATATACAGGTTTGCCAAAATTTTAAATCTATGTGCATGTACTAAATGATTGGTAGTTTTAGAATATGCGAAGAAAAATTTCCACACTCTGTCATTTAGACGTATAGACAACGTTTAAAGATCCGTTTTTTCCGGATATTGCTAGTTTTTCCACTATTTTCGACAGATATTTCTAAAATTGAAGTAGTGCACATCCCTCGAGCAAAATAAAACACGTATATTTCAAAACATTTTGATGAGAGACGAATGAAAACAGGGATAAGATTTTGCTCGAGGAATGTGCAGTATGTTTATTTTGACCTTACAGTACTATTTCCGGTGGCGGATCGAAAGTTCATTGAGAGGTGTATTTTTATTTATGTGAAATTATATGACCATAGTTCATACAACATGTTAATAAATTAATAATCCATGCATCAGCAATATATTTATTTTTCATATAAGTCTATTTGTCAAGAAAATAGCATACAAACTTGAAAATACGAAAGAATAATAAGACAGATGACGATGGGCCCTGCGATGTGTAGGCCTAACCTGCATCTGACAATCATTTCCAATAAGGATCAAGAACCAATGAAAACGCTAAATTAAAAAAAAAATCAATTGATTAATCTTATTAGCACAGAAGAAGAAAACGGGTTTGTATTTTATGCCAAAGGTATAATTTTATTTGAAAAACTGAGAAAGTTCATATAGCTACCGTCAACAGATGTGAATAAATTACGTAATAATAACAAAGATGACGTCACAATAGACCCCGTTTGATTTTCATATGAATTATTTTTTTTTATTCAAAAAACTTATAATATAAAATAAAATTCTTTGCAAAATCTGTTCAAATTAATCAATATTCTGAGGCCATATATTGTTGCATTATTATATAAACACACATGTTTATGTACGTTACGGATGAATTTTAAAATATATCCTTCCCTCAGTCAGATGGTTAATAAAAAAAAAAGATACCCTGAAAACGTTGATCAATATTTAATTTCACGCTCTATATTTGTCGCTTGTTGTTTATTGCGCCTCTAGATAAACTTTTGAATGCACCAGTCTATATTTTTAGGGGTGTTTATATTCCACGATGAATTAACAAAAAAGGCATAAACTTCACCTAGTATTATTTTTATTAAATAAAGATTACTAGATAAACTAAAAATGACGGTCATTAATTATCTGTCAGGGAACCTGAAACGTCAATAGAAGTTAAAAAGAAAATTCAAACACAAAACCTGGGGGGAGCAATTTGGATGAGGGGGGATCGTTGAAACAGTTATTGTAAAAAATGGGGGGGGGGGGGGGCATATTGCAAAGAAAAAAATACTCAGTGCGGCGGCCCTTATAGATATACCAGAATTGTCACTCCTGATCAGCCCCGAATTTCATCCAATGTTTTTGTGTCTTGGGAAGAGAGCTGTACAACACATTTCAGACATATAGTTCCCTTTGTTATTAAAAAAATAAACGTTTAGCAAACTTTGTTCTCATTAATCCGTATCCATTTGTAAGTTTTCATCATCATCTTGTAAAGGTATATTTTTAAGTATATGTATTCCTTGTAAACGAGTGTTGTGCAAAAAAGTTCAATTAAATTTAAATGCAATGTTCACAAAGTACTTGTATATTCGTTTAATCACGAAAATCCTTGCTTTCAAGCCATAAACGGCATGCAGACTAAATGAAATTAAACAGATCTTTCGATTTGTTTTGTTACTTTATATAAATTTCGGAATTCCTGTAAATTATACTTGGCAATTTAAATCAACCGCGTTTCATAGATACTCAGTATCACAGATTTGAAACAATAACCTATTTATTTATTTCCGGCTTGGATAAAGAATATCAGACACAGTTTAAAAGTCAATTTAACCCACAGAAACTTGGGGATATTTAAGTTCAAATTCGTGAAAAAAAATCAATTTGAACGTAGATAGCAAATATCATCTTAATTTACACTTAATCTCGCCATATTTAGCTTTGAAATTTAGTTCGACTTTACATTCTCAATCAAATTAAAATGACAACTTGTTCGTGTGAAGTTATGTTTCTAATCAGAAATATACAAAAAGAGATTTACAAGTGTTACATGTATATAACAGGCACTTAGCATCGTTTTTTAAAAACGGGGGGGGGGGGGTGAATTTTTTTTTACTCACCCGGAAAAGTTGACGAGCTAAAAAATAAAAGCATTGCCAAAACTTGAAATTCCTATTTCGTGGGGGGTGAGGAGAAGCGGCCAATTATTTTTTCAGGTGCCGAGTTCTTTCAGTACCATTTTTTTGCATACAATACTACATTTCCCTTACATCACTTTACCATAGTAAAAGCTTGGGGCCGACCAGCTTTTCAATAAACAATTTCAATATTAAAAGTAATGTTGGAAAATAAAAGTGCCCCCCGTTGCTACATGCCTGTATAAATCTGAAAGAATCTATATCCCGCATTTTAATTTTAAAATAATTTAATTCTGGTTGTAACGCTGTATTTGATTGGATAAAAAATTTACTTTATATCGTATGAAATGGGATGACTACGTCACAATGACATGCGTCAAAAACGTATCAATCCGCCTGACGTTACATTCAAATTTTGTACAAATTAAAGTCATTTTGTTAGAACAATCATCTTTTTTTCTTGCATCAAATGAATGAAAATTAAATTATAAACAATGAATTTAATAGCTACCCATTTTATACGGCATAAACTGGGTTGGAACAGTTTACGCTTTTTTATAAACCGCTTTCGCGGTTTTATAAAGCGTAAACTGCCCCAACCCAGTTTATACCGTATAAAATAGGTAGCTATTAAATTCATTCCTTAAGCATTACTATGTCAATGGAACATAATTATTAATAATATATCGAGGTTTTATCTCTCGCGAATTTTTCACTCATATGAAGACGCCACCATTTGCCATGAAGAGCAATTCTGGTTAAAATCAGATTTCTTTTTCGCTCCGAAATTCTGATAGTCGCAAGGTGTAAAGCTACTATAAGAATTTCGGTACATAATAAAGATCTGAAATAAGCATTGAACGCAAGTCGTTTAAAGTACCAAGGTTAGATATATTTGCATTTAGTAAACATGATGGCAGATCAGTCTTCAATTAAAGAATGTGCATCACATGTGATCCAAGAAAAAGGGGGGGTACTAACATAATCAATAATGCTGAAAATCCTATCGTAAAGGTGGATTAATGATTTCAAGCGACTTGTCAGAAGGGAAATTTTCAATGCTAATTACTACCAAAAAAGAATCGTAGCTCCTTTGAATGTTTTTTTGCATATCCTGGTGTTCTTTTTTTTTTGTTTGTTATTAAAGTTGAAAAAAAAAATATGTTCACGTATGCAAATGTATTCTTAAAAAGTAAAAGCCGAAACTGAAAATTGTGTTTTGTTAATTCAAATACATGGTATCAACAAACTTCAAATTAAGATAGCCGTCTTTATCATAAAAACCATCATAATAATGCACGAACAATATCGTATGCAGTTAATTCATACATGTATAATGTATGTCCTCGTGTTTATTTTCTATTTACAAACTTACACTGTACACACACACACATACACACACACACACACACCCTCACACACAAAATTGAATAAAAAAAGATATATCGTTCATTCAGAATTTTAAGATTTGATCGTGATCAAAAAGTGGAAAAATGGACTTCAAGCTAAAATTATGTTCCATTGACTTTCTTGATGAATCTTTTACTCGGAAAAACTAGCAAAAATCAATGACCAACAAAATTTCCAGTAAAGACGAATAATTTTTAAATTCAGCGAAATTTAAACTCTCGCCACATTTAAAGAATAGCTCACAAAAGAAACAGAAGAGTAAGCTAAAGCTTTTTTCAGTTCAAAATTTATTCTTCTTTTACGCGGTATCGGGAATAAAACGTTCAAAATCCGATAACGTCAAGTTGACGTCATAACGTCATTGCGTTATTTTCTTACGAAAACTACCTATATTTAAGAGCTCTCTCGGAGAAATGGTTTGAGATAATAACAAAAATTAAAATGACTTAGGAAGTGTTCACCCTAGACATGTTTCAAGAACAATTTAATTAGAATTTGGGACTGGGCGGATTTTTGCTCATACCGTACTTTCTTCTTAGTGCATAAACATAAAAGAAACATGTGTTCTTCAATGATGTAAGATATACATGCATCGACTGAAACAGTTTATAGGAGCAGTCATCTGCTCATCTATATAACATTTATAAGCAGATTTATGTTGAGCACAGGACTATAATACAGATAATTTCAGCAGCCTTTATGGAATGCTGGGCTCGTGTACCTTAGTCTCTGTCAATCCAGACAAATTTTAACTTAAAATTATTATGCTGGCCTCGTATATCTTAGCTCACTTTAGTCAATTCGGTCAGTTTTTAACGTACAATTTACATTAGTATCTTTACGCTGACCACAGGTTTCTTACAGTTCACAGACTACGCATGCCGGTTTTAACATATTTTTATGTAACCTTGCTCATATTCATTCAAACACATTTAACATACAATTTATATAAGCAGCCATATGCTGACCTCGTATACCTTTACTTATTGTCTATGCAGGCAGAATTTAAGATAGAATTTACATACGTATTGCAATACGCTGGCAGAGTTGATGACTAAAAAGGATGTTAACTATTTGAACAGCCATATCCTAGTCTCAGAACAGATTTACAACATTTATGATAGAACATTGAATAAAAATTACATAAGAAGGTAATTCATTGCCTTATTTTACTTACCAAGATGGATACCTGCCAACAACATCTTCAATATCAGCCAACATTTTCGATTACTCAAATAAGGAAGCCAAATTTCCATCCGTATGACAATGTGAAAAATACTCTTTATATAATGTGACAAATTGTTTGAATGTCTAGCCAAGATTGCACAAATAATACGGACCCAAATACAGCTGCAAAGCCCACCTGCGTGTACTAGTTACATTGATAAGCATATGATTTTCTGTGAAGAAATTGATTTGCCATTAAAATGATCAATGAAAGGTCAGTCCACTAGTTTAAAGTACTTACTAGTTTCTTTATGAAAATGACAACTTCAATCTCTTAAGAGTATCATAATTCATAAGTAGGTGCTGCCACGTCACAGGCAAATCAAAGCAAACCTAGACTTACAAAGACTGCAGGTCTTTAAACAGTATTTTCTTTCTGTCTTTTTCGCAGCGAATTTAAATCCGAATGTTGGACGTGGAGACCGGTCCTTCGGAGGATGAGACCGTATAAGCCGAGGACCTGTGTCGCAGTAGGTGCTGGCACGAAAATACCCATCCCTGTTCAATGGCCCTAAGTGCCGAGTATAGGACAAAATATGCTGCTCTCCACCGGCAAGTGGTGTCGTCTCCATATGAGTGGAAAATTATGGAGAGGGACGTTAAACAATATACAATCAACCAATCGTTCTGTCTTTGCCAGCAGTTGTATCATTTTGAGAATTTTATCCTGAAGTACATGTAACTGACATCCCAAAAACGCGAATCTATCTCTATTCAATAGTCAAACAAGTTGTTGGGAAGAAAGTGTAACATTTTTATTTTTGCCAAAGGTTTTCAAAATGTTGAATATCAGAGATTCATTTCCATAATCTCGTGTTCCACCATATTTAAAAAGATATTGCGAGCAAGATCCTGATTAAAGTTGAACTTAAAAATCTAATGATAATTACAAACTTTAAATTAAATTGACATAACCATTGTGAAAAACTTGCATATAGATATTTCCTGGGACAATAAATGTAATTTATTTGATAGAAAAGTAGAAGAAAATATTTTACACTCATGTATTATTAATATTATATGTACTATTATTACTGCATTTTTTTTAATGTTGAATAAATTTCTTTACATTAATATTCAGGAAAACAATCATACAACCATCCTATGAAGGTTCCTCTTCAAATACCATTGCTGGAGTGGCAACTGCAACTGTTATCATTTTCATCATCATTGCAATCATTGTCACATTAGTGTGGAGGAAAACTGGAGGTAAATAATAATATAATTCAGCAATAATTATAAACTCACAATCAATTTTTTATGCGTTCGCTAAATAACACTGCCTCATTTTATTTTAAAATATGGAGTTTCTTTGAATGATGTAGATATTTTCTACCATATAGATTTACAATTAAAAATTTTAGGGAAATTATAGAACAATATACATCTCATTTTCATTCATTTTATTTTAATTTTTCTTCTGCAGGTTGCACATTTTGTAAAGAACAAAATGTTGACGAGGAATGTTACCCTTTGGGTGAATATAAAACACCTTTTTATGACTGAAAAATACATGTACTATGTATATAGAGCAATAGCAAATATCATACCGCATTGGATACTCCACTTATTCATATGCATAATAATTTATAGTTTTACAACTTTTCAAAAAATCATGATTTATGTAATACTATTTAATTTACCATTTATAAGTCATGTTTAATTCATCATAGGCTTTTGTTTAAGGGATGTCACTCGTCAGCTTTTTAGAAAAAGTCACACAGAACCCCTTACTTCAAAACTATTTATTAGTTATTTAAATTTAACACTGTTAATATCTTAACATTCAACGAGAGATTTGCTCAAAAAGATGCAAAGAAGCAAGATTTATGAGGGACTTTTTCTTGTGGTGGAAGGATATTTAGCAGATAATTCTGCAAATCTGCACACTTAAATTTAATATCTTGGAACTTTAGCCCCACATACATATACATTAACTCGGAGAATATTTTCCGTTATGATATTGCTAGGGATATTTATAAAGACAGATGATACAAACAAAAATGGAGGCATGGATTGGTAAACATTTTTTGACCTAATTTCATTGCAAATGGTGCAAATAATAAATTTCTAGAAAATAAATTGTAAACCTTCTGTGATGTTCAAAAGCCTGCCCTTCTGAAACCATCCTTATTAATCTATACAAATATTTCTCACTTCAAAATCCATTTTTGTGAATATTTTCATTTAAATCATTTAAACATGATCCAAGTTGTTATTTTCTAATTTTTTGACAAATGTTTATTTGTTTTGTCCTGAATATAGTTCTTAATTTTTATTCCTAGAACAAGTTTTACACCTTCATTTAACAGACTTTGCCAAAAAATGAATATATGCCAAATAAGTCAAAATAAAATTTACACCATTTTTCGCCTGAAAATCACATATTTTGACCAATATTTCAAAATTAACATCACTGATCCAAACTTTCTCTTTCATTGTTTTAATGTACTTAACACTTGTAACAGATCAGCACGTAAGCCGTAAAAAGCTTGGTTTAAGAAAAAAGTTTGATTGTCAATTTAGATTTTTAATACCCCAAATATTTTATTTTTTAGTGCAAAAAGGTCACACAATAATTTATGCACATTAAGTTGCAAGAATTGTTCAATGATAAATATTATTCAACCTATTTTACTTCAAATAAAATTATATTTATTTCCATGGTTACAATTAATAAAATATGATAAAGGTTAAAGTAATTAACCAAAGAGTTAAAATTTAAGTGCAAAAAGGTCAACTTCATTGTACCGTAGATCAGTAAGATGCACACTGACCCCCTATTTTCTCTGCGATTTTAAGTCACACTATATGAGTACTTATCCAAAATATACTTCTCAAAAAATCCTTGATTTAACAAATTTCACAAGTGACATACCTTAAACGATAAAAAATTATACTTATACGTTTAATAAGACATTTGAGAACGTTGCGAACTGTTTGAAATGTAATCTTATTTACCTCTCCAACAAGTTTGCCGCTAAAATACCATCTGATTTTTTTATCTGTAATTAAACTTAATGATTTTCATATAAAATTGTGTTCAACAGAAACTACCCCAACTGTCCATATAGAAGCAGACAGAGAAAATGTTGTATTAAGATGCATTCCTACAGAAAAGCAGAGGAAAACTCTTTCCAATGCGATATGGCTTAAAGATGGGAAAGAAATAAAATTGAATGACAGAAATGGAAGATATAGTTTAACAAGTGATAAGCTTACCCTGGTTATAGAAAATGCAAATCATGTCGATATTGGAGAATATATTTGCTGCTTTAAATATGCCAACGAATACGAGAGCATAGTTAGAATTAATTTAGGTAAGTTTTCTTCGTCAAAAACATACACATGGGATAAAATAGCTTTATTATTTAGGGCGATCCAACATTGGATGTGGTTGTCACGGTATGGACAAATATTCTTTACTGAGTTTATTAAAATTAATAATGTTGTTTTACTCATCACCTGATATTAGCTATGTACATTTTCTGTATGATTCGTTTTTAGGTCACCTGAGTAAACTCAGGTGACCTCTTGCTATCTGTTTTCGTCCGTCGTCGTGCGTTGTGCGTGTGTTAACATTTGAACATTTTCAGCTTCTTCTCTGCAACCACTAAACCAATTTCAACCAAATTTGGCACAAAGCATTTATGGGTGAAGGGAAACCAAAATTGTGAATTTCATGATCCCTGCCCCCCTGGGGCCTGAGGGATGGGGCCAAAACCACTAAAATTAATGCAATCTTTAAATATCTTCTTCTTTACTCCTGGACAGCAAGCAGTCAAACTGTTTGCATGATTGTAATCAGCAATGAGTTCTCTACCAAAATTGTAAAATTCATGGCCCTGGGGTCAGGGGCTCTAGTGCTAGGGCGGGGCTTAATAAGTAGGTAGTGAAAATGCATTATTTCTTTGAAAATCTTCTTCTCTGCTCCTGGGTATTTAATAAACCAACTAAGTACATAGTTATGATGAGCAAGAGTGCCTCTACCACAATTGTGAATTTTATGGCCCCAGGGTCAGGGGTTCTGGTGTTAGGGCGGGGCTCTATTGATTATATAGTGAAAATACATGAATTCTTTGAAAATCTTCTTCTCTGCTCCTGGGTATTAAATAAACTAACTTAATACATAGTTATTATGAGCAAGAGTGCCTCTACCAAAATTGTGAATTTAATGGCCCCAGGGTCAGGGGTTCTTGTTTTAAGGTGGGGCTCTAATGATTATATAGTGAAATGCATGAATTCTTTGAACATCTTATCCTTTGCTCCTGGTTAATATGCTAATGATCTAATTACATATTTAAGGCCAGGATTTATTTTATTTTGTTTTAAAAACCCTCCGCTCAAGGTTTTGAATTTTCAGAAAAACAATTTTCTTTCCGATGTCAAATTTGAGTCGGGATCGAGATTTCAAATTTACGAACTCGCACTTCCGGTTTTACGATGAAACGGCGGGTAAATAAAGCTAGATCTGAGGAGATAGCTTGGTTTAGTGTAAAATCCATCGATAAGAGTGCCATTCAAAACGTTTCACCCGTTCAAAGGACAAATTTAATGCTGCCGACTTTGTTGCACAATCACATACTGGTAAGATAATTATGTATTCGTTTCAAAAGTAACTGTCTGTAAATTATTTTCCTATCCCCCAGGTTTTAAACTGCCCGTGGTAGCTATTGCTTATTGCATATTGCCAGCGACATTGTTTATGTCTCTGTTATAGCTTATAGTCTAAGCATCATTCTTCAGAAAAGGGTTGCTTATGCATCAGATGTAATGAATAAAACTATGGGAGAAGTTAAGTCCATTTGAGGAAGAAAAAAAACAATATCCTAAAGAAATAAAAAAAAATTCAACTATTAAAAGGCAAGAATATACAAAAATATTCAGGCATGTAGTATCATTTGTATCAGCCAGAAAAATTATTTTACACTTAATTGAAAAAATGTTCACCCTACTCCCCAATTCTCCCTGATAGGAATTATAATTTTAGGCATCAAGTAAATTTTAGAACAATGTTTACACATTCACCTAACACACATTAAAAAAATGAAGATATTATATTGAAACGTTTAGTTAGGACTTTCAGTAAGGCGTGGCATTCTCGACGTTACCTAATTAGCTTCTGAAATTTGCACAGCTTCCCTTCACTGTTGAAATATACATATGATAGAAATGCGGCCGAATGTCAACTGGTAAAGTAAATAGCCAATTAAAAGTTTTCTCACGGCACAGAGGTGGGGCATAAGTCTTCTGATCATTATCAACAACAATTCTTAATTCCTATGTTTTTATTTTCGTAACCAATGAGAATCTACTAGTATTCTCCATTACGTAGCGCCAAGAAAGTCACGCCCTACTGAAAGTCAAAAGATAGGGTAAAATACTCCTATTCTCATGTTCATAACTAAACCTAAACATAAAAAATGCTGGCCTTATAATGAAGAAAGGGGCCTCTTTCAAAATAGATAATTTCAGGGCCGCTGGGTCAGGGGTACCGGGGGGGGGGTACTTTGACTAAAAATAAATTAATGCTTTGAAATCTGCCCTTTGATAAGCAATGGTGCCTCTTTCAAAATTTGTGAATTTCATGGCTTTTGGATTAAAACACGAACCAAATACAATCGCTGGAAAGTTGTTACATGATACTCAGGTGACCTATAAGGCCTGTGGGCCTCTTGTTTACTATATACTTTTTGTTCAATGGCCTGTGATACAGCATTGATTAAATCTTATTATTTAGGAATCAGGTTACATTTTAACAATTATTGGAATTTTTTATGGCCTTTTACCTCACCATATCTCTCTAGCATCTAAATATGGTACAAGTCACGGTAGCTCAGTCGGTAGAGCGCTCGCTCCGTGATCGGGAGGTCGTGAGTTCGTATCTCGGCCGCGACTGACCTAGTCGTTAAAATGGGAAGCAACATTTCCTTCGCCATGCGCTCGGCACTTTGAAGTGAAAGTTGCGGGTCCTTCGGATGAGACCTTAAAAACCGAGGCCCCGTGTCAGCGGCAGGCGTTGGCAAGATAAAGATCCCTCACTGCTCAATGGCCCTGAGTGCCGAGTAAAGGTCAAAATTTGAAGCCCTTTACCGGCATACGGTGACTTCTCCATATGAGTGAAAATTCGCGAGAGGGACGTTAAACAATATATAATCAATCAATCAATCAATCAATCAATCTAAACATGGTAAGAAGACAAAACCACATATTTAAAAGGATGTTCTTTCATCGTAAGTCATTTGCACATTTATTGTCCCCCGCTCTCGCGAAAGCGAGGGAACATTAAATCTCATTCGTCTGTCTGTCAGTCTGTCTAGCTGTCTGTCTGTCTGTCTGTCCGTCACAAAAACTTTAAACTTGCCCATAACTTTTGATTGAATGGACCTTTGACTTTCATATTTCACAAGTATATTCCTTGTGACAAGACCTTTCTTTGGATACCACCAAATTTAACATTTTTCCTTGGCCTTGTTGTTTGACCTACTTTTTCACAATTTTTTTTTTATTATTTTGGGCGTAGCTTTTGAACGGTAAACACTATGACTTTTATGTTTTACATATGTATTGCTTGTGGCAAGACCTTTCAATGGATATCAAGAACTTTGACCTTTTGACCTTGACCTAGGAGATTTCTGTACTTATGAAAAAACATTAACATTGGTCATAACTTCAAAACGGTAAGAACTATAACTTTCATGCTTCATATATATAATTCTTGAGAGAAGTCCTTTCATGGAATATCAAGAACTTTTACCTTCTGACCTTGACCTTGGAGTTTGGCCCACCTTTTAAAATTTAACCCTGGCCATTACTTTTGTGAAGGGTTAGGGCTAGTGTTTTCATACTTCAAAGATTTAATCCTTGTGACAAGACCTTTCATTTGATATCAACCAGTTACACCCTTTGACCTTGTTCTTGGAGTTTGATCTAATTTTTAAAAGATTTAACCTTGGCCATAACTTTTGAATGGTAAGGGCTAGTGCTTTCATACTTCACAAAAGTAATCCTTGTGAGAAGACCTTTCACTGGATACTAAGAACTTTGACCCTTTACCTTGACTTTGCAGTTTGACCTACTTTTTAAAATTTGATTACCAATATATTTAATTTACATTTTAAAAATGTTTAATCTTCGCTTTCTTGCCATACGGGGTCATTAATGTTTCACAAACGCATTTTGTTCCTTTTAACTTTGATTGAGAAGAGATAGGGCTTTCATATTTGACATCTGTATTACCTATGACAAGATATTTCAAATGGAATATTTTTTTTATTCAAAGTAAAATATTTACATATCAAAAACTTCATAAACAGGTTTGTAAAAGTAAAATATCATTTTTTCTTAAGTGGTATGTTAGCAATTTTGTCTAGTGTATAATTATAAAAATAAGATATATAATATATTTAAAAAATTGTATTCCATATTGATACCTGTATTAAAGAAAATTGATGCATATGTGTTTTCTATTGTATTTTCTACAGTTCTAATCAAAACAATTGCTAGAAAGATGGAACTCTAGTGACGGTTTTACTTATTTTTGGAAATTATTATTATACCTTTTTATTTTCTTGCAAAATAACAGCATTCCCTGTATTGTGGATATTGTAGATCGCCCTAAATTAACTCTGAAAAGAATTGAATTCAAAGGACAGAACGTCTCGATAGAATATGAGGTATCTAAGGAATGTTTTTCATTAACATCATTATCTTGGAGAAAAAATAGATGCAGCCTGAAACTTTCCGATGAACCAGAAAAATACTCTGGAGGAAAGTTAGACGATTCCTTTCTAAAAATCCACAATGTAAATGATGGTAGTTCTGGCATATACGAATGCACGGTTAATAATGTTTTTGGTGAAGACAGCATCTCCTGTGTTCTAGGTAATTTTTGTTTTAAGTTGGCATTGTTTACGAAATAAAGTCCGCGTTTTCGTGAATGTTGCAGAATAACCTCCGAGGTCGAGAAATGTTGTTTAAAATATAAAAGCCGAGGCGTTAGCCGAGGCTTTTATATTTCAAACAACATTTCGAGACCGAGGAGGTTATTCTGCATCATTCACGACAACAAGGACTTTATTTCTATTCTACCAAGGGCGATAAATACGGCCGATTGTTTCCTCTATAGAGAAACGAATTAGGTCACCATGTCTCGATTACGCTGTTCTATTTAACACCAGAGATAAATTTTGTTGACTTACCTATATATGGAATGCAGATGATTTGAGCTTTCGTTGCATTAAAAATAATCTTTTTAAATTACAAATTTGTTCGTAATATGTATTGATCAGTTAAAATGAATATACAAAAACAAAATCATGTTCTTGTTTTACTGCTAAAATCACGTTGTTTAATGTGTAGGGAGGTCCGTGGAATAGCCCCGCTTAGCTATAAAAACCGACATTCATCAGCAACTTGATGCAATTTACAGTGTTTATACTGCAAAAGACAACACATCGATGCGGTGTAAACAAGTATTTCATTCTACAGCCAAACATGCATTTGAATTGTTCAGATCTGATACGTGTTTCTGATCTGATAATTTTTTGATGACGTTCGTGATTTATTGGAGAATAATGTCCGGCGGCTTCCTTTGAAGTTTTCAATAACCGTGGTAGAATATAATATAATCTTATAATTAATGCATAATTTTGCTTATAGTACAAAAACGGAAAACAGCGGCATATTATTGGTTGCACGAGCAGACTTTGCAAATGATTTTTGGCAGTTGTTAAAACCGTTAATTCCTGTCTAAAGCACAAAGAATTAAATTGAATGTTTTATCCATTGACTTTTAAATGATCTGCGTTTTCCAAATATCTATGCCTGTACAATAATGCCCTTTGCATATATTAGTTGCAGCGTTTTTCCATGACATTTTCGTAATAACTTACATGTATTCATGTCCTTTTTTGCATGAAAAAATCTTTTTTTTCAAATTATAGATGACATACAGTGCAGCTCAAAAGAGAACCAAAGTATCTTGCTTTGCTGTTTACTACAGGATGAATTTCGAATTTGTAAAACTCAACCAGAGCAATGGAAAGAAAAATTAGAGAAATCTTGCCTTTTTTGTTTTGGCCATGTAAAAGGGTTTAACGCAGAAAACGCACTTGCCTCTGTGGAAGATGGAAAATCAAACAAACACTTTGATATTAAAGATAGAGATTTTAGGTTGATTAACCCTGATAAAGTGTTTCAATCTTTTTTACGAATCAATGGTTTTCTAGATTTTTTTGTAAAACATTCAACAACTAAAAATATTGGTATTTATTGCCGGTCGTCAGGGTATCAGAGAGGTCTTGACGAAGTGTGCATCAATGTTAACCAGGAACAATTCAAGAAGATGGTACAACGTCTGAAGTTCGACATCCTTTTTAATAATACAATAGCAGACAAAACCTGTCACCAAATAATTGAAAACGAATGTAAGTTTCGTTATAAAACTTAATAATGCCTTTGCTATGTTATATTCAATGAAGATTGTCAGGATCTTGTTTTGTACTAATACAGTGAATTTTCTCAAATCTGGCAAACCGGAAAACCATCCTCCTCCAAATCATTCAAAAGATAAATTTTCTTTATGCATTCTCAGGTTTTTTGCAACCGTTTGTTCTGTTCTAGATGGCGGTCGGTTTAGAATGCTTTCATTGTACACAATTTCTAAACTTAAAAAAAATTACTAAACGGCATCGTTTCTACATGATACAAATTTCACTTCGGTGTTCTGTAGATAAAATTTAAAACACAGCCAACCAAAATAATGACTGATTAATTTTGAAATGTCACCAACTTATCTATTTACAGTGAGCATCCCAAAAGGTATTCTGAGTTTAGGTAAAGAGGGCATATCGAATTATATCGATAGTCTTAAAACTGGTGAACATAGAGTATATGTTGCCAGAGGCATGCTTGTAGGATGTGAGGGGGTAGGTAAAACAAGTCTCCTATACAGACTGCAAGGAAAAGACAATCCCAATCCTTCATCAACGATAGGATTAGATGTCCATGTCAACTTATTTACGGTTCAAGGGGAAAGTCTCAATGGTAAGTTTTTTTTTGATAAAAATATCAATATAAAAGACAAATACTGTTTTTTTTTTTTTTGCTTTCTCAAAAAATATCGATAAAGTTGAATCTGTATTTTTCAACTGTAAAGCTACACAACTTTTTGATAATAATGTGTTGGATAACAAATATTCATACATACTGAGATTTTTTTTCAACATTGTATCAAAGGTTATTTTATTACAATACATAGTTTCTTTAATCGTTTCAATTTATATTTTGAATCAATGAAATACAACTGAACTCTTTTTGCAGTCACCGCAAATATAAACAAACCAAGTCTTCTTTCTAACTTGAACAACGAAGAACTCGCTCCAAGTCGAAAAGAAAAGGATATTAGACCTCACACACACATGGTAGATGAAAAAGTAAACAATAACAAGTCATTTCCTACACCGCCACAAATATTGTTAGAAAATGCTGGATATGTTTTAGAAAAAAAAGATAACTTTAAAACCAAACAAAGTGAGATTTCCAGTCATAGTGTGACATCAAGTGAACCGAGTGCAGGGAAGAGACAACCATCCACTGGAAAAAACGAAGTTATCAAAGAAGAAATAGAAAATATGGATACCTGTCACTTCCAAAGTGATGAAGAAAACGCCTTCCCCGTATCTGATATTACAATTCACACATTGTCTGACTCGTTTACAGAGAAGGATAGAAAAATAGTGTCATTCTTTGACTTTGCTGGACAATTTTCTTACTATGCATGTCATCACGTATACTTTTCACCTAATGACTTTTACATTCTAGTTATGGACATCACAAAGAAATTAGGTTGTCAAATTCATAAAGAGAAAACCAAAGGAGCATCAAAAGAAAATGACATCACCGAGGAACTGAATGAAGAAAGCAATAGAATGAAAGGATCTGTATACAGCGATTGGACTGTCTTAGGTAATTTAATTCCGAATTAAAAAATACGATTATTTTTTTGTTCATTAATGAGGGATTATTTATTTATTATTTGTGTCTGTTTGCTTTTTTTTAAATGAAAAGAATGTTACACTCATTCAATCATTCATATTAATCAAGTTTTGATTCGAGCTATAAAAGAATGCCTTTTTGGAATGAAATTTAATAAATTAGGCATTTACAATGTTTTCTTATGATAGATAAGGCATTTCTTATCACAAGTCTAAAACATGTTTTTTCAATAAAAATTAAATATTTTAAACCTAAAAAAACAAACTTTTATAGCAATTGATAAAGTTTAATTAATGGTAAACTTTTTCAAAATATTCTTTGTAAATTTAGAGTTTTCAGAATACTGGATACAATCAATTTTATCTCATACCACTGGTCTCGCTCAAAACGACGAGATAAATGAAGAAGTGCCCAAAAAGGCTCCTCTGATTCTTGTTGCAACTCATGCTGAAGGAAAATATGGAAAGGTTGTTGCATTTACATATATCCACAGATGCTACGATTTCTTTTTCACACTACCATTAACTTTTTTTTTGTTGTTATACATTATAAAAAAAATATAAAGAATAATTTAAAATCAAAACAACAAAAAACATAAAGATCATTTTATTTAAGGAAAAACTGTCTTATTTTTTTTATTACATAATATAATCAATTGATTGGCTTGCGTGATAATTTGCTTAATAATTTGCATAAACGCCGAACGGAAGCCAAATGATTGATCATCTTCATCATATTGAAAAATCTGACAGTTATTTCTTAAAATTACATGCTCTTATTTCCACCAATCTACTGTTTAGCTATTTTTCCCGCCCTGAACGTGATTTTTTTTAAACCGTGCATATTGATGTAGCAGTACATTCATGTAGAAATAAATTACATTAACTATTTGTAATTTTTTCTCGGACAAAGACATTGGAAATGTGAATATTTGTATTACATCTCATTTTTGACGGTCAGGTGACCCTGTCCATTAGTTTTTTATCAGGGGAAGCCTTAAAACTGTAACCGTGGGGCCGGACACATGAATTAAATCTACGCTTTATGAAAGAGTGCAGAATTTGTTTTGATTAAAATACAAACATTCTGTATCAAACTGAAGAAAGTGATATGAACTTTTTTCTAACTTAAAGTAAAGAAGCGTTTTAAAAATTGTAAATTGGAAAAAAAAAATATTAGTTGAAAATCACACAATTAAAAATTGTATTCCCCTGCGTAGTACTACGGTTGCCTACGCATCATATATTGTTTACTTCCTATAAAATATTTATTCAAAGCAGGTAAAATTCGGACAATTCATAATGGTTTCTAGATTTAGCAATTACTGGAATTCCTACTTCAAAGTAAATAAAAAAACGTAATGATATATATATGATTTTAGTATTTTATGAAAAAAAGTTCTTGTCAAAACTCTTTAAAAAAACCCCATATATGAAATCTAGCATGAATGTTATTAATTTTGACCCCGCCTTTCAGTACTGTTTCAGTAATTTGATTTGTAGTAGTATTCAACTTTTTCGGAAATAAAATCACTTCAATGTAATATTTATTTATAAGCTTTGAAACCATAATTTCAATAGATATGCTTACATTTGAGTGATTTTTAATGTTAGAACATGATGAGTTTTACACTTATTCCAGCTAGGAGAGCAATACTTTCTACAACTCCGAAGCAAGCTGCCACATTTAAGTGCATACATCGATTATTCATCAAATGCATTCAGTACTGGCTTCCATGATGATATTCAGAAAATAAAGAACTGTATAATGAATATCGTTCAAAAACTTCCTAACTGGGGAAAAATTATCCCAATGTCTTGGTTCCATGTTGAAAGCTTGACCAGAAAGTTGAAGAATATGAAAATAATAAGTTTTGAAAATTTTTACCGAAAATGTATTGAAAGTAGTATTGGAATAAGAAGTCATAAAGATCTCATAACATCACTTCGATTTCTCAATGACATTGGAGTTGTCTTATTTTATGATGAAGACTATCTAAGAAGTTTTGTCATTCTTGATGTCCAGTGGTTTGTAAACGCCTTTAAACATGCTATCACTGATGAAACCCACAAAAGTATACATGTTGACGAAAAATTATATAACCAATGGACTTCATTCAATGAAACAGGACTTTTGACTTTTTCCCTTTTAAAGTCGATATGGCAAGGAATACCGGAAAGAGATTCCTACATTTCAAATAAAAAGGAAATCATTGCTTGCATGATTAGATTGAATCTTTTAACAGAGGTATTGGAAGAGACGTGGTACTGTCCTTGCATGAATAAGAAACCCTTTCCAGTGGAGCAATTCAAAAAGTCTGATTGTTCATCTTTGTTGTGCTTTCAGTTCACTTATCTTCCTCTGGATATGTACCATCGCATAATTGCTGCTTGTGGCAATCAACTAAAATGGAAAGTTTTCAAATTGAAAGAATATTGCATTTATCAAATGGCAACCCTTTTTCATGTGAATGAGAGTGAAGTTCTCGTAGGCATTTATAACAACAATGAAATCGTGGTTCAGTTTCTAGAACTTTCTAAGTCAAAAAATGTTGATCATGTGGGCGTGCGTGAGAAAATAACCCAAGTTATTACTAATCTGGCAGAGAAGTTAGTATGCTGCAAATATAATGTTGGCTACATGTGCAAGAAAGCCATTTTTGGAAAGCCGAATCAGTGTGACTTGCATTTCATAGCAGAAAGTGATTTAGTTGGAGAAAGCATAAGGTGTTCGGACTGCGGAATTGGTAGCGAGATCATCGTTAAAGAGATTATCTGGAGGAAGGTAAATCTTGAAATAATTAAGCATATGTTTTGTAAGGATGGCATTAAAGTTGCAACTTGGCATTGTTGTTTTTGTTAGAACCGCATAACCCTTTTTTTTTAAAATATAAAATCGTCAATTCTATGACTTGAATTCCTATTATGAGTGAAAACCAAAAAATATATTTCATCACCACATTGCAATATATTTGTTTGTTGTTTAATGTCTCTCTCAAAAGTTTTCACCCATACGTAGACACTACTTCTTTCCGGTGAAGGGCTGCAAATTTTGTCCTTTACACGGCACGAAGGGCGATTTAGCTGCGAGGAATCATTTACGTGCTAGCAGGGGACTACGCGTTAACACAGTCTCATCCGAAAGACAGGTCCCCATCATCAGTGGGATTCGCAACTGCGACGCGGGCAACAATTATTACTCTCTTACTGATCCATAGTCAGACTCAGAAACGTAAATATATATGCAATCGTTTCTTATAGAGACTGCACGATTGACATCTTCAAGCACACAGCTAGCCCTGAAAATACCAAACAATTTTGAGAGAAAAAATTAACTACAAAGATTCTATTTTCTTTTTTCATTTCTTTCTATTGCCAATGCTCTCTTTTGTTTAGTCATAGAAGGAAAACATTAGGCCCTCCCAATTACGCATTCTAGCGGTAAACAGTCGGAAATATATGTTTATTGATGTTAACACTTATCTAATTTATATCTTGTCTGGACTTTACCTCCGATACGTTTTTATGTTATAAGTATATAAAAATGATTTTTAATTGAGTATTACTTTGCTAAAGAATAATATCTTCTTTAGCATTTAATGCATTTAGGATTCTTTACTTCGTTGATTCAGAAATTATAACTTAGAATTAGATGAGTTTTTATTTGAATTTTCAAATCGCTTACAAACAGATATATCGTGCATAACACTCAGTTTAAAGCTTTATTACTAATTTTTAGACTTTTGGGGAAAACCAACAAGACAATCATACCGAAGATCAACGTCACGGTAAGAATAACCTTAAAACATGGCAAATTTTTTTCAAGAATCTAGCAAATAATTTTGTTATTGAAATTTTAGGGGAAAAATAAGTCTGTAAATTCAGAATGAAATAAGGAACAAATATCATGTTCAAGAAGTCCAAAAATGATGTCTTTAACTCTAATGCATCGTTTGGAACTACAAATCGTGATCACAAAATTTTCATCTTCAATATGCGCATGTTTCTGGCTTTTTTTTTACTTTCACCAGGTGACGCCATCAATTTCGTGGTTGACTAGCGATTTAGTGCAAAGAAACCTGAAATAAACATCAGACCAATTATTATTATTTTCGGCCTCATAGTCAATTTTTTCGCATATTATGTTCTCATGCGTTTCCTTTTCCTTTCATTATCTATTAATATGAATGTCGATCAAATACCATGAAAATATAATAGAGCCAATTAATACAATTGACATATTTTTCTTATCTTTATTTTCAGTGTCTCTACCAAATATTTGGAATTATTTTGGTCGACCACATAAGGATAAACTAGTACTAGCTGCCATAGACATTGGCACAACTTTTTCAGGATGCGCATTGATCTTTACAAAAAACATACAAAAAGACCCTTTAGACATAATTATTCCTCCTTGGCAGGGAAGTAAGATAAATTCACTGAAGGCGCCGACATTGTTGTTACTAAACAGGGATAAAAAATGCATAGCCTTCGGTTATAAAGCAGAAAAAATGTACACGGAGCTAAAATGTGAAGGGAAACACCTGGGCTACTATTATTTCCGAGAATTCACATGGTTGCTTGATGCTGGTCTTACAGGAAATGTATGTACATTTGTTACAGACTATTTATCTTCTTAAGTTTTTCTGATTATAATCTTCAGGGTTACATTATTCATTTACAAATTATACATAATTATTACATTAATTTTCTTAAATCGAAATACTGTGTTTATCAAATAATAGTGATACTCTCTCAAAATGTGCAAAAAATACCAAGCGATATTCTGTCACAGTGTATATATAGCAAAAATAGTCAAGAATATTTTTTTTGTGTTTTATAAGATTGAAATATAAACTAAATCATCTTTATAGGGACAAAAAATGCCAAATATTTTGCAAAAATTCACATCACAATATTCAAATATCATAACCGCAAAGACATGATGTTTCAACTGTTCAACTATGATGTTTATGACACCGTGTTAAAAAGACAGATGTAAAGGAAAATTTTCAAAAACAAAGCATTATTTTAATTAAGGAATGAAGCTAATTTCAACTTATGTTATCCGATATAACATAACATGCGGCAGTTTACGCTTTATAAACCGCGAAGCTGCCCCAAGTTTTGTTATATCGGATAACATAAGTTGAAATTAGCTTCATTCCTTATAATTTAATTTCAGTGTAGACAATGAGACAATATTTCCTCCGGAAAAAGGCTTCAAATCGAGCAATATTTTAAAAGTAACGTCAAGCGGAGTTATACGTTTTTGACGTAACTCATTGTGACGTAGGCAAGTTATGTTATACAAAATGTTATACGAGGGCTGTTCAATAGATAATGTCCTCGGTGCTCAGAAAGAAGCAAAATACGCTTTTCAATGATTTAGTCTTCATGATTTTATTAATTAATCTCTTGTAAGTAAAATACATGTCCGTAACATTTTTTATCCAATTTCTGATTGTTTTTAGAACTCATTTTTGGGTATGACCCTTAGTATACTGGAAAATGGCAGATCCAATGATTTCCTGGACTTGTTTCTTCCCTCTGAAAGGTGTTTTTTTCAAGTTTGGAAATAGAAACAAGTCAAAAGGTCAAAGATCTGGCGAATATTGTTAATGTGAAAAAACATTAACTTTCTGTTTATTCTGAAAACCCCTTTACTCTTCATGACATGCAGGTTTGGACGCTGTCTTGAAGAAATTCAATTTAGTGGATTCCTGATTCTGGGTCCTTCCTCTATTAAACCTTTCGATTAAAAAAAAATTGCTTTTTAAAATCCTCCAGAAATTAAACTGTCTCTTCGAATACGAATTTGAACAACAATACCACTAATTTTTAAGAAAATTACATATAAATCTGTCTTTGTGCTCTTGAATACCTGTGCTCTTGTCAGACATTCGCCGTTTTTATCAAGTACATCTTATGGTAAATTTTGTTTTGAGGGTTTTATTCAATAGATTCATGTTCCAATATCTGTTTAAAATAAAACAAACGTGGATAACTTAAATTACTGATATTTTAATATAATTGTTTAGAATTTCGTATAGGCTGTCGTTTTCACTCATTTTTCAAAATATAGGGTGACCTTTGAGTACCAAGCTTTTTTACCGTCACACGTTTCTTGAAAACTGTGTAATCTACTCCCGATATGATGTTTATCAAAATTGCTATGTGTCTTAAAGTCAATCATACATCATCAAATAGTATTTGTTGAAATTGGGCAACCAGTACGTAAGTTGTTATAATTTTTGTTGGCAAGGAGGGTACCCATTCTTGATACCCATTATATAATATTTTTATCATTGAAATCCACCTGCTCTTTTGTCTATAAAACGGGCATCGGTTGCTGTAAATGTCATATATTTCAGTGAATATTTCTTTGGGATTTTTAACAAGTTTTACGGCAGCTATAATGAAGCTTTTATTTTCACTCTATTTTACTGATTCTTTACCATTCATTTTAATGCAGTGTCTCGAAAAGCCCTTGCTTCCCAGCTTCTCACGATGAAACTATGTGATGAAAAATGGTCACTGAAACTGTTATAAGTTAATGAAAGATTCCATTATCAGAGAAAGTCAAGTTTAATGTCATATGCTATCTGTAATGTGTGTTATATAGTTCAGGACATTATTTATTGAACAGTCCTCGAATGTTCCTCTGAATGATTCAGCCAATGAAATTGCTTTATACAAGTGAAATTAAATTATTTATTTGGAAAGCAGTTTCAGTGACAGACATATCTTTTTGCCGTGTAATTCGATCAAGCTGTGACTTTTGACTCCCTAATAAATTCATACAGAGCATATTGTGTTCCAGTAGGTTCGATCAAAGAAAAAATATTCGCAAATGTTAATATAGATTATCTATTTACAAAACAAAGAATATCATACACAAGTACGTATCCTCAACATTTATACAATTTTCTTTTTTTTAAAAAGGAAATGATTAAAGATATAAGGGGGAAGAAATTACCATTAGTAGAATTACTCTCCTTGGTGATAAAAGGCCTTTACATGCAGTGTGATCAAAAACTGAAGCTAATTCTGCGAGACGAACTGATTCCAGATGAAATAGCATGGTTGTTAACAGTTCCCTCGCATTGGAATGATTCCGGAAAACAACTTATGAAGACAGCGGCCCTTAGAGTATGATTCTCTAACTGTACTTTTTATATCAGTAAATCTTACAAATGTATTCTCTTCCATGTATAAAGTATTATTTGAGGCAAGGATATCAATACAAGTCATGTACCTATATATTAAGTCACTGACACATAATAAAAATGATAAATGATTACACTGATTCATAACAATAAATACAAATATTTGTCACTAATCAGTCGTAGAAGTATGTAAATATTAAGTAAATATATATGAAAAAAAAAGTTTTTGATCATATGACAAACCGATATTTACAGAATTATATCGTATTTCTTATTCTATAAATATGTAGAATGATATTTATCTATTTTATAGGCTGACATGCGTCAACAAAACATGTGTATTGAATTAGAGTCCGTAGCTGCTTCAGTATATTATGACATTCTTTCAAAGCATGGATGGAAAGGAACCCCTTCTTATATAGACGGCAAATACTTACTTCTGGACGCTGGAGGTATATTTGCATTTTACACACATGTAATTCCATGTACAAACCCTTCCCCAACACTCACACACACATGCTCACACACCGAAATTATTGCAAAAGGTATTCTTAATCTTAGCTATTATTTCAGAAATTAACACTCATATAATGGTCGTAACTCAATTAAAAAAATAACATCGTGGGACTCTAAAAGTTAATTTTAAAACAGCAGTAATCAAGGGATCTAAAAATTTGCGTAGGTATGTTTTAATATCTAACGATGTCAGTTATCCAAGTGCATAATCTCAAGTCTCACTTCATTTCTCAATGACTTATAGTCTTAGACGATACAAGGATGCAACAGGTTAATGTTGCTGTCTACTTTAAATAAAACAAAGCACTTGAGAAATATTTTCTCATTTCAGGTAAAAAGCTTGAATTACATGTGTACGAAGTTTCACACGATGGAAACCTGTTGGAACTTGACAAAAAGCTTGTTAAAGATATAGGTGGAATTATTGTAGACCAAGCCTTAGAAACGTTTTTGAGTGAGTTATTTGGTCTTTCTAAGTTAAACATATACCGCGCAAGGTATTTTGAAGACTATATAGATATACTCAATGAATTTGAAGTGAGAAAAAGAAGTTTTGGCGAGGCACTAAAGGAAAAGACGGATATTTACTTATATTTTCCTGAGTCTTTTGTCTGTTTTTTTGGACAGTACAATAGTATACAAACTCAAATAGATGAGACAAAATACATGGGCCATGTTCAATATTTGAGGGGGAGTATTCATAAACTCATGATTGACTTCACAACGTTTAGCAGTTTCTTTGTGCCAGTCTGTGATAAAATAGTTCAACATGTTCAGACAATGCTGGCTTTACCAATTCTTCGAGAAGTTGATAAAATTTTCATGATTGGAGGATTTTCCGAGTCTGCAATTTTGCAAAATGCAGTGAAGGATGCTTTCCCCAAATGCAGTGTTGTAGCAGTGGAACCAGAAATAGCTGTTTTAAAAGGAGCAGTTCTAATGGGTCGAGGATTTAATTCTATATAAATTTTATTATGTCAGACGAAAATGACAGAATCAATGCCACAGTTCACGAATTAAAAAAAAGTTTTTGAATAAGACAGAAGGTACCAGAATCATGAATGAAATCATTTAGATGAAAGTTATATGCAAGTATATTATAATGATTAGAAAAATCGCAAAGTAGACGTAGAGGTTGTATTATATTGGATTAAACTGTGGTTTTGTAAAGAAGATAATTTTGCAGTGTACATAATAGAAGAGTTTTTAAGGTCCTTTTCGAAATGAAGAGCTGAATGTTTGGTTTTTTTTTTAATATATAGATTTTCGTGTACTTTGATCTATTCATTTAATAAAAATGATTGTATTACGGTACAGTTGAAATTTGTGAAGAAAATTCTCTAAAAACCTGTCAAATTTTCTACGATGGAAGACGGAATACAGAGCACTTTAAGCACTTATCTACGAATCTTGTAGACTGTGCAACTTGGAACAAAAATTAAATACTGCAATTCAAGAATTTAAGTCTAATTTACAGGCATTGGTTATAATGAAAAGCAATCTATGCAGTCAAAAACTTATTGATCTTAACACTTCACACAGAGAGTTACCTAAAATGCTTTGCTAAACGAAGCTAGACTATTTGACCCTACTCATCTATATATTCCAAACAGACAAACTAAGTCAGACGTTATCAAACTGAGAAAAAACACTTCTCTGTGGAACTGATAACAACAATTGAATTAGAAAGGCACTTTTTTCTTCAGATTTTACCATTAAGGTTTCAACAAAGATCAACATGCCCCAAAATTTATTTTTACAATAGCTCCAAAACTAAGACGTTTCTAAACTTCAAACTTCTACAGTTTATAAATTTATAATTGATTAACAGAAAGAAATTATTACTTGATAAAAAATACTTAAAAAACAATATTTCAAGAGAAAAATTCTTTTAAAAAATGCATTTACTTTTACAAAATACACCTACTACATTCGCACTTTTCGTGAAATTCATCATTGCAGAAACAAAATATGATTATCAATGAAGGGCAAGTACCGGTAGGACTTCGATAGCATCTGGAAAGTTGTTTCCCTTTTTATTTTGTCTGAATGTCAAGATTTGAAACCGAAAGTACAATGCAAATGACGGGTTTTATAGGGGTCCTGTATTCATACATATCATGCTTTCAAAAACAGCCTATCAGAGACCATTCACTTCCTACTTGCCCCTTCATTAATAAACATACCTTATTTCTACAATGATGATTTTTACTAAAAATACAACATAAAGAGGACGTACTTTTTATATGCAAAATTATATATATATATTTTTTCTCAAAAAATATATTTTTAAAATGTTTGATGTAAAACGATACTTTCTTTCTGCAAATCAATGATATACATGTATTTATACACCGTAAACATTTTAATTTTATACCTCACATAGTTTCGGAGCTATTGTGAAAATAAATTTTGGATATACTGACCTTGGTGAAACCTTAAAATGCAAGCAACCCTCTTTGTTGGTATTTGAAAATCACCATTTTTCTGTATCTCTTTTTCTCTTGATTAATCAATATAAACATAAAGTACATATACAGTGTATATGCATTACATGTATCTTTTTTTCTGGTGAAATTAAGGGACATATGCTACGGAGTCTAGGTTTTAGACTTGATAGAAAAAAAAATACATATTTGTCGATTGGATATTTCAACATAGAATGACAAGCATGCTAAATTACAGTACTATGAAGAAGGCAAACAAAAATAAAACATTGTTTTGAAATAAGCTTAACAGCTTTATGATTATACGTTAATATTTTTTAAGGACATTGGCAACGTTTCTTGGTTTCATATAGAATTTTTCAAGATTTTTTGAACAGGTTTAATGGTACCAAACATGTTCAATTCAGGTCCTTTTTACCCATCAAGCCAGCCTTCCTTTATATATTTTGTCAAATCAATGTTTTTACAATTCGCAATACATTTCCTTTGTAAAATGGTGCTAAAATGGGCCTCTGTTATTTTTAACTACTGTAGTTTCATCAATATTCGTTGAGCACCAATTTTCGTGGATTTCGTTGTTGAGCAGATCCACGAATTCAAATGTTCATCGAATTACGAAATATGACATTCACTTGTATAGGAAATGCTTTTGTCCACGAAATTACGTATCCTCGAAACTATCTATTTTACAAAATCCACGAAAATTGATGCCAACGAAAATTGATGAAACCACAGTATGAGTTTTCTCAAAAACTAATTTATTTCATAAGGTTTTTACATAGAATACATTGTTGAAACCTTATTTTCGTTAACATGCATATACTTTGGCAGAAAGTGCAAATAATAAAACAAAACTCAGAAATACCAGCGCTGTTCTTTAATTTTGAGTTACTTACCTTACCATCTAATCAGTATTCCTAATGATCAAGAGACTGGTTGTTTGTTTCTATTCTATAATTTACTAGCTTTATTGGAAACGAACTGTCATAAAACATTTTGCAAGGGTTTATTAGTAACTTTTAATGGTGCCTCCTTCACATAACCTATAGAATCGTTCTCATCCGGTCTACCTAGCTATCACCACTTTCAGTGTAATTTTTTCACATCTTTGCACTTCTCAGCATTCATATACATGTACCGATTCTAAATAACGACCAGTTGACTGCACAGTATAAAGAAACCTATCGCTGCTTTTCTTTACCTTTCAGTCTGTAACATATGCTTTATTTGTTTTCTCAATGATTTTTTTCACAAGTGTAAAAACCTATATATCAACCCTTTTTCTCTATAAACCTTGCGTTGCCAATGACCTTAAACACATATGTGCATTTTAAACGATGATGCATAATAATTTTAAAACTATTTTACTTTTAATCTCAACTGAGCCGAAGACTCAAGTGAGCCTTTCTGATTACATCTTGTCCGCCGTCCGTCTGTTCCTCTGTCCGTCTGTATGTCTGTCTGTAAACATTTCACATTTTCGACTTCTTCTCAAGAACCGCTTAGCCAATATCAACCAAACTTGCCACATAGCATCCTTGGTTAAAGGGGATTCAAGTTTGTACAAATGAAGGACCACGCCCTCATTCAAGGGGAGATAATTTGGAATTAATTAAAATTTGGTGGCATATTTTAAAAATCTTGTTCTCAAAACCACTGTGCCAGGAAAGATGAATCTTATGGTGAAACATCCTTAGGTAGTGTAGATTTAGGTGTATTCAAATCATAACCCCCGGGCATAGGGCGGAGCCACAATGGCCGACCAAAATTTTACATAGAAATACATAAGAACATTCTTTAAAAATTTCTCAAGAATGACAGAGCCATAATTCATCATATTTATATGGAAGCATCCTCAGGTAGTGTAGATGCAGGTTTGTTCAAATCATGACTCCCGGGGGTAAGGCCTGGCAACAATGGCCGACAAGAGTTTTAAATAGAGATATATAGGAAAATTCATTAAAACTTTTTTTCAAGAATGACAAAGCCATAATTCATCAAATTTATATTAAAGAATCCTCTGGTAGTGTAGATTCAAAATTGTTCAAATTTTGACCCCCAGAGGCAGGGCGGGGCCAAAATGGCCGACCAAGTTCTACATCGAAATATTTAGGAAAATTCTTTAAAAATCTTCTTCTCAAGAATCACAAAGCCATAATTCATCATAATTATCTGGAAGTAGTGTAGATTCAAGTTTGTTCAAATCATGACCTCCGGAGGAAGGGCGGGGCCACAATGGCCGACCAAAGTTTAACATAGAAATATATAGGACAATTCTTTTTAAATCATCTTCTTAAAGGGGGGGGGGATAAGCACCTCCTTCAAATTTACCTGGTCCTAGAACCTCTGTCAATCATCTGAAATTAAGCCTGGGGTTGGATACTTTGATTTGATTGACATTTAGCTTGCTGTTGTTGTGTATATCTTGTGTACCTTGTCTGGAGATCGTACCAACCATTGAATTAACTTTCAGGCTTTTGATGCCTACTGCACATGCCAACGCGATAAAGATCGAAGCAAACAAATCGTTCTTTTCTTTTTTAATTCATAAGAATATGCCATAAATATAATCAAATATCTAATAATTAAATAAATGACGAGAAAAATCATGGCTATATAATATATATTATAAATTTAATTTGAAAAGAGAGGATTTCATATCAGGATTACAATCGATAATTTTAATTTCCGTATCAAAACATGAATTGACGTACATTTATTCCTCCATTAATTGACAAAATCAACTGACCTGCATTTGAAGCTAATATCATGGAATCAAATAACATTATTTTTAAAAATAAGTATGACAACATTGTTCATGAGTCAAGCGAATTTATATTCATAAGACACACCTTACGTGTCGCTTTTCTTCGAGACATGGTGAAGAAGTTATGGTATAATAATAAGTTTTAGAAGAGAAATTACTCGGAATATAACATCTTGCTTTGTATTTAATGTTTGAAATTAATAATAAATCCCGACAAATAAAAAAAAACGATGCAGTTGATTCCATTCCTGTTTTATAGCTGTCGGGGAAACAACCCCGGTCCGAAGCACTGGTCATTTTTACAGACCGGTCCCTCAGACCTTGCGTTATGGAAAAATCAAGTAGGGTTAATCCTAAAAAGATATTTATTTAGACAAAAATACTTCTACTTCAATATTTTATTCTCAAAACATCGTTTCTAATTTTCATTGCTATTTACCGAGAGACTGTTTTATGATTCACTTTCTTCTTTCGTTTTGCGTGGACGACGTATAATTTGAATTACTTCCCTTTTTGTCCCAAGATTACAACGACAGATTTTCGTCCTAAATGTATTTTCGTTATAACACTTCATTAAGAAACACACTGTAAATAAAAAATGTCGAATTATTAAAATATCACTTATTTAAAAATACGAAATTGAGAAGGATTCTGCCTGCAACAAAAAAATGCTTTATATCGCATTTCAATTCATGAACAAAACATGAAAAAAAAGCCTCGGTTTACAAAGTGGTAGGAAAACGCATACAGGTAAAACACTCAGGTAACATCCTGTGTATATAGGTAGTATGCACAAGCCAGCGACGTTCCCTCGGGGCTTCTCAGTCGCTTCGATTAAGCTCCACCCTACACCAAACTTACCTGAGGAAAACCGTACGGTTGAAAACCTCAGCCTTTAAGAATAGCAAATCCGTGATTGGTCATGAGACTACTTTTGGATGTAAACTTTTCAATAATAAACCATTTTATATATTTTTTTCTAGCCACAGTGCTTAGATGAGCGATGTTGCCGAAGGGCCCTCTTGTTTCTCTTTGGGAGGGAGCTGCATTGATCTATTCTTTAAATTAGTTTCATATAAACAATATATTATAAATGTGACACAAGTCAAAAATTACGAATATGATAAGAAATGAACAAAAATTAGCATATAATTTAACAATATCTATACTTTTGATT